GCATTCTTGGCCCTGGGAGGTCAGGGTGGCTCGCAACAGGCCCGTCCCTTCTGATCTCTGCCACCTCAATAGCGAGGGAGGGTGGCAGCAGGAACAGAGAGAGGACCGTGGGTGACACTGTTGGGGCAGCCCAGAGTGACCACAAGTAACCTGAACGATGTCAGGAGCACACTGAGGCTGGCTGTCCCTGCCCTTTCCCAGGGGCCCATGGGAGAATACAGTGGAGGGTCGGGGCTGCTGCTACCAGAGGGAGGAAGCGGGTGCTCTCCGGCTGTCTCGGCTTCGCCCCGCCTTGCTGTCCACGTCCACCCTGCCACCAGCCTGCCTGGGGGACTGGGCAGCTCTGACAAAGCCACACAGCTACATCCCTCTGTCCAGCATCTCCAGCTCCAAGAAAGACACAGCACTCGTGGTACTGAGGAGCTCGGGGGCTGAGGCCTGTGGGGACAAAGCGCCAAGGCACACAGTGGGAAGGAGGAGAAGCTACGCCCCTGTAGTCAGGATTTGCAAGGGAACTGACTTCATACAAGACGCATAGTTTATAGGGGGTTTTTTTGTTTTTGTTTTTGTTTTTTTTTTTTTGCTTTTGGACACAGAGTCTCAAACTCCAAGTGATCCTCCTGCCTCAGCCTCCCAAGTGCTGGGATTACAGGCATGTGCCCCCATGCCCGGCTTAGAATTATTCTATAATATTCACCCAAAAACTCAAATGCAAAAGAGTGCAGGAGATCTTACCATGCACTAGAGACCCAAATGATCCAGCTGAGGTCCTGGATCCCACAGCAGTGTCCTGCCTGAGTCCAGCTGGAGGCCCACAGCCCACAACAATGTCCCATGCAAGTCTGTATCAAGGATCTGCACTGGGAAGGCCCAAAGGTCAGTGGTGGAAGCCAGAAAGCCTGCACCAGTGTGACGAAGGATCTGTGCAGCAGGCTGAGGGGGTCTGCCTGGAGCCAGGAGGCGACGCTCGAGATAAGGCCCCGAGCTCCCACTCAGAGAACCACAGCCAACCTCAGGGACAGCGAGGTTCTGAGCGACCGCAATGATAACAGCCGAGTTCACGTTGGGAAAGCCAGCATGCCACGCTTCTCCAGGAGAGTCAGCAGCACACCGTCTTCCCCTCCAGCTCTCCTCTTACTCTGGTGGCAGCAGTCCTCAGCCCTCCACACCCAGCACCACGCTGATTCTGTTCAGCCGGGAGTTACAGGTTGACCATTAGTTAATCCACCACACCTGCTTCTGCATGCTTCTGCAGAAAGCAGCACAGTCACGCTGAATGGAGGTGGCTGAGCTCCCTGGGGGCAGCAGGAAGCAGGCAGCATGTGGGAAGGTCCCCTCTGAGGGCATCTCGAGTTTCCGTGGGACCTGGGATGTGGTACTGAGGGCAGAACAAAGCATCCCTCGCATGGACTACCATCATACAAATAAATGGCGTAGCCCGGTGAAGGAGACAGAGCCGCCTGCGGAACTCCAGCAGGGTTTTTCTCTGTATCCTCAGGGAGACTCAAGGGACTGAAGTGAGCTCTGGTACTGACAGGAAGACAAGAAGGAAGGAAAGGAGGGAAGGAGGGAGGTGGCCTGCATAGAGAGGGCTGCACCCTAATACAGGCAAAGCCCAGCACACAGCACACCTGGTTTGGGCTCCTGATACCATTTCATGTCAAAAGAAACCACTTGAAGAAATTTCTCCAGGGGCTAGGGACTCAGTAAAACAAGCTCTTGCCTGGCAAGTGCAAGGGCCTGAGTTCAATCCCCAGTTCCTTAAAAAAAAAGAAAAAGAAAAGAAAAGAAAAAAACAAGGGCTGGAGAGATGGCTCAGTGGTCTAAAGCACCTACTTGAAACAAGCTTGGCAAAGCACAGGGACCGCGGTTCCATCCCCAGCACCACATGCCAGCCAGCCCCGCCCCCTGGTGGGCTGAGCTGGCCACACACACAATAAATAAATGTAATAAATAAAA